CCCCCCCCCCAAAGTAATATTGGCCTTGTTACGGGTCGCAGTAGTTGGCAGTGGATGAACTTTCGCAACTGCTAATTGTTAAAACACACGGGCTGCAAAAACTGAACTGAGGATCTTATTTATTTTGAGAACTGAAATAGTACCAACAAAAACTTGCAGTCGTATGACGTAATGGAACTGGAGTTATTTCAGGTTTTTAGAACATCCTGTGTTTCGTCCTTGTGCTTTTATTGGTTTCTTCAGGAAGTGTGGAGCAACGGAATTGCCGTAAGAATACATAATCGCAGTGAAAGTCTGGCAGTTTGAGTTGTTTTAGATTTTTATGATTGTGTCGTGTCATCGTCTTAGTTGTTCCCCGCAGAGTGAGTTTCGGGTAATTCTTTATGCCGGGCCCGAGGGCCAGTACGCGCCTTTCAAAGTATGCTTCAAACCACAAGGTTTGTTGGCGATCGTATTCTGAAATTCTTCTGGTACTGCCTTCAAGTATCTCCTTGAAACACAGTCCTCATTGAGAAGCTGATAGTCGTCATCTGGTTAACAAATTTGCTGCTTTTGTGAAATCGAACGTCCATTTTAATGTATCCTACAGCCTGATACCGGGCTTCATCGTGAACGAAATTAATCCGGTCAATTATTTGAGACCCATTTTAATATTATCCTCCCTTCTACGCCTAGGTCTCGAAAATGATCTCTTGCCTTCATGTCTTGTACATCATTCTGTTGTTAACCGTTTAAAAAAGTAATAATTCCTTATTTCTTTTTTGTTCAGCTGACTTAATTGAATCTCTAGATGAAACCATCTGAATCAAAGGCCGTGTTGAGGCTAAAATTTAATTCGTGAATGATTTTCTACGTTCACTCTGTCTGTGGAGACAATAAACAGGTTCAGTACGTCTGGTGTGTGATCAGCCTTGGATCGCAGCAAAGTAGTTGAGAAATTCTAATGGCCACTTAAGTCTGTTCAATGAAAGTGACCATCAGTAGCTGTCCTAATGGAACTGCAACACTTGAACTGCATTACAGTACATGCATTTTATTGCCTTTACGTTGCCTCATTGAATATCTGGCCTCCATATGTTTTACTATCACCCAGTAGAGACATCGTTGAGCTAAATATGGTGTAGATTTCTGTCTTCTGGGTTATTGCGCTGTGTAGTCTGGTCGATGTTAACCAACGTTGCAGAGGTCATACTGCCTCCGTCATCAGAGTATGGAGATTTCTGTCTTCTGGGTTATTGCGCTGTGTAGTCTGGTCGATGTTAACCAACGTTGCAGAGGTCATACTGCCTCCGTCATCAGAGTATGGAGATTTCTGTCTTCTGGGTTATTGCGCTGTGTAGTCTGGTCGATGTTAACCAACGTTGCAGAGGTCATACTGCCTCCGTCATCAGAGTATGGAGATTTCTGTCTTCTGGGTTATTGCGCTGTGTAGTCTGGTCGATGTTAACCAACGTTGCAGAGGTCATACTGCCTCCGTCATCAGAGTATGAAGATTTCTGTCTTCATACTCATCGCCCTGATGACGGAGGCAGTATGACCTCTGAAACGGTGGTTAACATCGACCAGACTACACAGCGCAATAACCCAGAAGACAGAAATCTTCATAATCACCGCTGTGAGAACCTCAAGTCTTACATAAATATGGTGTCCTGGTCCTAAAACGAGTAACCGAAATAAAGTGCCGTGTTCCGGAAATTTGCATTGCATTGGAAACATGCTTGAACCCTTCGGAGTTTTGAACGCTCCTCGCTTCTTTTTCTTTTCTTTTTCTCTCTTTTTTCTTTTCCCCTTCGCTCTCCCGAGTCGGTCCGTATGAATTCTGGGCCTGTTTCATTTTGGTTTCAGCGACATGACTCACAACTGACAAGACTTGCGTCATTATGTGGATAGTTAACAATAGTTTGTCGCCGTGTAAACAATATTCATTGTAGTTTATTTAGGCAGAACTGAACTTGATCCAAAATGCTTCGCTCCCCACGTGCAAACCATACAGGGGGGGGGGGGGGGGGGGTGTTGGTCCCCCACAAGCAATACCCACGTATGTAACTAACGAATGGAAGTGACTTCAGGTCCTTTGCGAAATAATATCTTTTATTCAGTTCCTGCCAGGACGTGCTACATCCGAAGTCTGACGACAAGAAATTTGAAG